TGAGGAAAAATGGAGATTAGATTTCCCATGCATTGGAATTAACAATTAAATAAACCCTAAAATATTTTAACAAAGGAAGAAAGCAATGCTACAAAGAAAACTTCAAAATAGAGTAACCTATGAATTTTAATACTAAATTTGTCATCTTCTTTGATCTGGTTCTTGGATGGAGTTTCTTTCTAGGTTGAATTGTTCCATAACGAACACATAAAATATTGCTTTCACCACGTTACCAACCAAATATTAAACTTGCATTCTGTTGCATAATAAACCCATAAATAGCTTTTAATAGAAAATCTCAATTGGTAACGACTTCAAAGACTTCAACCTCGACACAAATGTGAAGAATTTTTTTTTCTTTTATATATATATATATATAATAAATGTCAAGAAATTTAAGAAATGTGAATACCCGTTGTCTTGCAAGAAAACTCCATAAAGAGAAGGTTCTCATGGTATTGGCAATTGTGTAAATAGATTGATAGTGATGGGATTATGTCTAAAACAAATATCAAATATGAGAAGCAATAAGGTTGCAACCTTCAACAGTTGATGGACCGTCCTAATCCAACTAATCATAATCAGAAAAGAAAAATAATTATAAAGCAAAAACCTAACCCAAGAATGGATGAAAAATAACATTTTCTTAATCTTTTTTAATTCTTTAGTAAATCTCATTAGGGTAACTACTTATAACTCGTTCTCAGAAAATCAAACGCGTCCCCATTGCCTATAAAGAAAGTCAAGTATCTGACCTCTTCAAAACCTACCGAGAAGAAAGTGATGGGAATAAAAAAAATGATAAGATCATTTTGATCTTGTACGACTTATGTTGTTTGGGGTCAATATGTACATGTAAATAAAAGAAAAGAGAAGAAAAGAAACGTATAAGTAGTATTTTTTTTAGGGCTTTTTGCGTGTTAATTGGGACTCAAATCAAAGTAATAATTAGTGTTAATTCGATTACGCTTTTATTGGTTAATAGAACTATAGAGTTGAATGAGGTTGCAACTTATTATCTAACCAATCCTCTAACCAATGCTGCTCTGTCCTGGGATTGTAGAATTTCAGATCAACTTATAAGAAAAAGAGTATAGGAATTCCTATATGATTAAGGATATTCTATAGGTACCATTTTTTC